TTACGTACACTGAGACTTTCACGGAGAATCGGTGGACGAGATGAACCTCGGCTGACAGAGAAATGTCATTAAAATCTGAATCGTGCAACTGATTAATCTTGAACCTAAACGAAACACTGTAATCTCTAAACAATAATTTTAAAACGCGTTTTATTTCAAAAGGAAAATAGTGATTTAGAAAGATTTATTTTATTGATTTAAAAATTCTTAAAGCGTGAATGTTATCGGGGGTTCTTTTGAATCAGAGGATATTTTCCTGGAGGAAAAGCTTTTTTCTTATCGATGATGACTCGTTCGAATAGATATCGCGACGGGAAATTCGCGCACCACGTTCGAGGGTCACAATACCGCATAGCTGGAAAACTTGGAGGACCAGGATGAAACGATACGAGTCCCACGGGAATCGTCTCGCAGTAGGTATACCGACGTTCTCCGCTATTGAATAACTCAACGTTAACATCAACCGCTCCGCCTCGCTTTCTCCTTTACTAGCGTCGCTTTTCACCATACGCCATTTCGGGAAATATCAGGGAGAAACGCAGGAAAAGGGAGAATCGATGGAAAAACATTCGCTTCCCCTTTCGCCTGTGTAACGTTCACACGCGAAAACTGTCCTGTTTACTCGCTCCTATGGAAATGTTTATCCAATTTCACATTACGTTTATTGCGCTTCCCAGGTTTTCTTCTTCGTATAGCTGGAACAACTTTTCCACGAAATTCTCTTTGAGCAAGGAATCCGACGATAGTTTCGGGTGTAATGCACACGCTGGAAACGCGTGACGTTAGAATTCTAATTAGATTCCAAATATTTCGAGGATGCAGCGGTATTAGATTCAATTTGGAACTGGTTCGATTCGTTGAGTTTTAAGTGATTTCTAATTGGAGTAATTTGGTAATATTTCATTAAATTGAAATATAATTAATTTTTTGATGTTGAAGAAAATTTGAAATTCTAAATTTATTCTGTTCACTGTACATTGTTATAAATTTCATTCTATTGAAGTGAAAGTGAAAGGGGAGGGCGGCACACGAATTTCTTGATGGCCGAATAGAACACGAAGCAATTATCGGTTTCGGGATACCGTCCATAATTCATGGAGGCCACTCGAAGCAAAGTTTCCGAGAACGGGAATCGCGTTCAAACGTTCGATGTACTAAATTATCGTTACGTTGCGTAAGGATTTCAGCAGCCTTGCAGTTTCGCGGCTAGCGAATTGCGAGTTCGCTAGAACGGGCCGCAACTTCGTTTCCATTTCCGTTTCAACGTTGTCCGATACTCGACGAGAGAGGAAGTTGAGACAGACGAGATAGGTACACGTACGTACAGCTTGTAGAAATGTGCAGTTATTTGGCCGCGTTCAATGTATACCTTTAAATGCAAATACCCGAATAGCCAATTCTATGCTTGCGACTCCTATTGTTCTATTACCGTCAGTTCGTTCTTTCTTTCTGTTCAACTTGATTATATTTGCTGTTTTCTGAATAATTTTCATTCAGATTTTTTTCCATTTAAAATTTCAAACAGGACTTGGTATATTTGAATTTTATAGTTTATTGATAATTAATAATTATACACTTTACAAATTGGGGTATTTAAATAATTTTTAAGTTAGTAATTCCAAACAATATTTTTAAAATTTACCAAATCTGCCATTTACCAATCTAAAATCAGTAGAGTGGAGATCACGCTCGAGTAAAAGATAATTCCTTAGTATAAACATAAACATTGGAATTATCGGCGAGCGTCGGCAGACGCGTCGAAGCGCGACCGTACATTCATTCGTTTCTGAGCCTTCCTCGAATCAACACACGATCGAACAGTCGTCTAAACGGAGTCTTTCCATACCGAATATATTTTCATCTTCCACCATATTCTAGTGCGCGAACAACTAATTAATTATCATTACATCAGCGTAAGTGTCTGAATTAAGTTTAAGTTACGTATTAAAATACGATAAAATCAAATCAATATCATGATTGATTAAGAATCAACTTTGTCAATTAAATCGGATACTTGGTAGTATTTATTAATATAATATGCAAATGTCATCTGGCGGGTGCAAACGGTTCTCTTTATATCTCATTCTGGTTAAATTAATGTTCTACAACCTTTCCACCTTTCTGAGCTCCACCATTTCCACTAATTTTCAGACTCTATGCTCCGAGTACTTCCATTGTTATTCTGTAGAAAAGAATATTTTACTTGGCACAAGTGAAGTTATACCTTCGGTGTCGCGCGGTCCCTACAAAGCACTTTATTTCTTTCCTTCTTAATGGGCTGCAGTAAATTAATCTCTTGAAGTATTTCAAAAGGTCGTTCATTTAATGTCTAATATTCTAACGTGCAATCGTATTATTTAAAACCTATATTCGATATTTCATTAACGAGAAATACAGAAATTTTTAAAAATTTCCCTGTCAAGGAGAAATTTTGATAATTGTGCTTTATTTACACGTTCCTGAAACGCCAGCTGTATACTTTTACAAATGGTGAGATACGGTATACCAGTTAATAGTAATCGATAGCTTTTATGGAGCGGAAGGTACGAGAGAGGAGGAAAAAGATAAATGAAGCAACATTTATTACAAACTTCGACGTTTGAGAAAACTTATCAATGATTAATGTTCAATTGCCGGTTGCCTCTTGTTCTGATTTTTCCTCCAATACTGTACATCTCTTTCTCTCGATTAGGTATGTAACACGGTAGTACTACGGGAATATAAAGGGTAATATTTTAAGCGGTATAAAATCTATATGAAATTTGACAATTTTACTTTGATAATTTCAAACGGAGAGTAAATGTGAAGCGTAGCGTTGAATAATTTTGGAAGTTATTAATATTCACGTTAGTTATTGGAGCAGAAATTAAAGAGATCGAAACGGGGAGACCATTTGAATTTCTATAATATTTTCCAAAAAGTAGTAGCGTAATGTGTGATCGAAATTTGAAATAAATGAAAAAAATAAGAGATTGGTAATTCGATAATTTTACAATTGTACAATTCAACGAGGAGTTATCCGTTCTTTATCTATCTTCTTGTACCTTTTGACTGGCTCTTCACCTATAATCCTTATTCGTCTGTTCTCCCACGATCCGAATCTCGACATGAAATAAGAAGAGTAAATACCCGAAGCCGTCTTCGTGTACATGGGCGTTTGGCACGAAACCAAATTCCACTAGCAGGAGGTATATCATCCCTAGGAAGCGAGCAAGCATACATATACACTGTGTCCCCTTTGAAATCATTCCCATAGCTTATTTCGAAGCGATGACGATAACGAGATTCCTCGTTGAAAGCGGCCACGACGTGAAAAGTGGGACATGCAACCGACAGGTATTTTGCTATCCAATTAGCTCCCTTCCTCGTGGGGATAACTGATTATTACATATATATATTTTTTCAATCGAACTTTATTACATCTTTTAGAGAAAATAGAAAGTTTTTATTATTATCATAAGATAGAATAGAAAATCTGTTTGAAGAAAAATATACAGGGTTACTACTTAATTCGATGAATATTTAATTTTTTAATTTAAATTTTAGTTTGTTGTTCCACGTTATTGGTATAATAACAGCGTTACGTGTTAGTTTTATTCCCATTTAGTTTATTAGTTGATTGGTTATGTCAATTTTTGGTGTTAGACGTGTTAGAATTCAGTAAATTGAAATGTTGTCTCTAATGGAAGTAGTATAAGTCAGTGAATGGTCAGGCATTAATGCTTACATGGCAGTCTTTCAAAGTTGGCCGCGTTGCAATTGAGAATCAACAGTAGCTGTGAGTTAATTAATATTTATTTTATTTTTTCATAGTTTTTTACGTAATTAGAGTATAAATTTTTGCCTGAAATTTGCAAACACCATGAATCTAAATAAAAAATAAAAATAAGGAGTGTACAATATTTTTAATATTTGAGTTGCTTCTATTCAGTTTTTTTTATGATATTTCAGTTATTTTTTTCATTTAGATTGTAACATTTAAATTTTTGGAGATTCGTATGAATTAATTGATTAAATGGCTAATGAGACAAAAATCATTGCTCATGGCTTTGTATTCTGAAGTTGGAGGTATAATCGTGGTTAAGGGGATATGTTTCCAACAAATGATCAGATGCAAATAATTTATGCACGACGTACTGTTGGCCATGTTGCGGTTTGCAACATGCAGGCAAGAGCTCGGTCATACTGAGAAGGCTCCTCGCAACAGTTTGCTAATTATCGCCAATTAATTCAAATGTACGGTGCTTATTCACCTGTCATCGCACCCTGATACGCGGATATGATGTTATAACTACGTGTTTCCTGCGGATAGCATTCGTTATTGATCAGTTAACTATCGAACTTTGTTGATAAAGGTATGATAGATTTTCCGCATCAGTTTGTGCAGATTTTTAATTAATGCTTCATTAGCCACCGTAAATTATTTATGCATTAAAATGCTACTTCAAAAGTCAATTTTATGGTTTAAAATTTTTAAATGTTAAGTGTAGATGAATGTCTATTTTATGGACTTTTAAATAAGAAAGGATTTAGATAATTTTTAAAGAAAAAATATTAAGTTGACAATTAAATTTTTTGTCAAATTAACCCTTTTTTATATTTGTGTTATAGAATTTGGACGATTGTAAATAAAAATTTAATTGCCAATTTAATAATTTAATAAATTTGAATGTGCAGTAGTATTTATTTAAAAAGTATTGTCTAATTATAAATTGGTGTAAGTACATTAATTAAAACACTTGTACCATTGTGTGTTTGTGTCGTGTGGTAGTTGTTAGGTAACCTGGGGCATAGTGGACGACCCTCAACAGGAGATTAAGCTGCAAATAATAAATTTACATTAACATTGTTATGAAGGAAAGAGAAATATTTGCTGATTGATTATCATAATTTTATTAGTCGTTCAGATGATTATAAAATAGAAACGTTATATAATTCATGGTTACTTGTCTGGCAGAAAATCATTTTCAAAAATTTAATAAATCGAACAATTGCAAGGATATGTTAATTACATTTAATTAGTAAAATCCCTATTGTATAATGTCTATCATTTGTTTTATAACAAAAGTAATTAGTTGTTTACTTCGCACGCTTTTGCAGTGATACGTGTATCACATTACAGAGGTAAATCATCTTTTATAAATATTATTTACAGTATTATTCATAAACAGAAGCAAGTTAAAACTTATGTTACAAAATGTTGTTTGATTGACAACCATGGTTATATACATCTATACCTACACCTACGATTTACTCTAACCGAGTTGTGTAACTTTAAACGTCTTTGGTTGTTAGATGTTATGCTTTATTGTTTCACGTATTTAAAGTAATTTACATAAATAGGATCACATAGTAATTTCATTTATGTAGCAATTACAATGTGCTCTCTTTGTGCAGTTAGGAACTCGAACAATGCAAATCGTGTTATAATTAAACTAGGCTCGTCCCCCGGAAAATTCGCATTTTTGAAATATGGATCGTCAAAGTCTGAAAAAATTATTGTTAGGCGCGCATGCGCTGCATAGTACCAACGCAACCCTTTTCAAAAACATTACTTACTGTTAAATGTGCGACCCATAGACTTTCTACAAGAAATGGAAACCCCTGTAACTTTTCCCTCCGGCCACTTAGCCGCACAAACGCAACGGCTTTGAGTTAGTTTTAGTAAGACCTTTCTAATGACGTATAGAGTGTATCTCTAACCCCAGTAGTTCTCGAGTTGAAAAGTGACTATATATATATATATAGATTACAGATTATGATAGAGTTATTCTAATTTTGATTATCGAAGAGCACAGGATCTTGCAATACAAATGGCACTTGTGCCATTTTGCAATACTTTTATGTCATCAAATGATGTCAGACTTTTCATGTTTCAAATTCGTCCATTTGATATGCCACAACCTAATAATTATTAATTGTTAGTCAGCCGTGATTTCAAACTTAGTAAGCGTATTTAATTGACTCGATTAGGCTAGAAGATTTCAAATTTTAATTTTCATTCCTCTCTAAACGCGTTAGGAATAATTTCTAATTTAAATGCTACATTTATTTCTAAATTAAATCTATTCTATTTCATGACTTCATTACTTCAAAATATTATTATGCATTTGTTGTCACATCGAATGGCTCTGAATCACATTAGTTTTCTTATAATTTCAACATTCACCGGGATAACTTACAAATTCATTCCGAAATGCAAGCTGGAATGTGTCAAACAAAAGGACGCTCTCTGAACCATCATCACTGTTCAAAAATACTGTTATCATGTCAATCGGGTCATTCAATTACACAATTTCTCGTCTTCAAGTCATATGCTTCGTAAATTTCATTTCTTCTTAAATCACACACCCCATAAAGTTCATTTTCATTCACTGTCAGAGAGAGTACCATTTTCTTGCAACCTATCAATTTCTTTACTCGTGTCTCCATTGCCTGAATAGGCAACCTTGCTGTATCTGAACATGGGTAAGCTTCTCCTGCGTTGATACCACTTGATCGCCATATAAATTGCCAAAGTCAGGAAAAGAAGCAGGTTGATCGTGAACAAAATGGTCATTCTGTAGAACCAAAGGGTAGACTGCATCGTCCAAGAGAGTTCCAATATGACACACTGTGACTCGCTCGAAAGGAGCTCGGCATCTTCGTAGCAGCTGGTGCACTCGGTGTTCGAAGGTCCCGAACAAGTTTGGCAAGTGTAATGGCAACGGGAACAGACTGCCTTTGTCTCGTCAGAAACGCCATAACTCCCGGCTGGACACTCGTGCACGCAGACACCGTTGTGGTAGTACCAATTCAGCTTGCATTCTGAAAAATTACATAGATTCTCTTTTGTTGATGGTCTTCATCTTCGTGGTGTGTCATTTGTTTTTCTATCGTGTCGTGATCGAGTGGCGTTGTTTCTGGAGACGTAGGGATGACACTGGTGACATTTGTTTGTTCCGTGCGATTAGAAAATACATAGGATAATTTTAGATATTGACGATTTGATTTTTGAAAAATAATATCGAGGCGTTGGATTTCATATTTCTCTGCTTTTCAAATTTCATCTAATACAATAATAATTGAAGGGTACATAGGAAAAAGATATATTTTCTATGGCTTCAGTTTTTTTTCATTATTAACCCTCGAATTATTATGGCTGGTATTTAAATATTGTAAAAATAATATTTATGAAAACAAAATAAAATTTTTAAAAAAATTCAGTTCAAAAACCAAGGAATAAAAATGTGTCCTGAATACGTCTGACTAATTATGGTTTATATCACTTGCATTACTCTTTCTACGCTTGGAAAATAAAAACGAATCCACCCACGATGTAAAATATCTATTAATAATTTTTGCCAATCTTTTTACAACAGATAACGTACTCTTCTTTCTTTTGTACTGCGATTTGTTTTGGTGAACGAAATCATTAGCAAGAAACGATTCAGTAATTATAGGTTTCTTGGTCTGTTAACTAAGTTTTCGGATTATCTTGAAATGTAATTCGAATTTTCAAGTTGTACGAGGGTTCAGAACGAGTTCGGGAACAGTTCGCCGAGATAGGAGGTACGTTTAGAGTACCCTGATGAAGTTAATGCCAATGTTGGTAAACCAACGTTGAACGCGAAACAACCGAGAAACCGGAATTACTGTTATAATTAATAGCCATGGAAACCGGAAGCGGTTCTGATTCCTTGTAATGCAGTTTCTGAAATATCACCGCAACGATGTTTCAGCATTTAATTACGCGCCGGAAATGTTACCAGAATATGTCATCCGTACGTGTCACGCGAACATATTTTCATTGTTTTTGATTTTTCTGTGTGTCTCTTTGTGTTCCTTGTACTATTCTCTAACATTACATTCTAAGTTTAGTTTACATTAAACAAATATCTCTCTAAGTGAACATAAATTTCTCTTACGAACAAGTACATTAACGAGCGATAAGCGATATTCTATGTCGAGAAATAAAAAATAAACAAATATATGTTTATGGTAAATTAGGCCTCGGTGAATCAGAGATAGATTGATCAAGATTGAAATAATTTTTCTTTTTTATAATTTGAACAGTTTCAATTTGATTTTCCATTCGCCAAGACCTCATGTACACACGTATCGATTTTTAAATAAATACATACAATTATATGCGTTATTTCATAAAAATAATCAAGCAGCGAAGGTAAAATTATAAAATATCAACCTTGCCAGTTATTCATTACAATTATTACGACAATACGATGGACTATTCTGCATGCTGAAGCATATATTACGCGATTTATTGGAGTTAAATACACATTGATCGTAAAAGTTGAAAGTAAAATTTATCACACGTTTCGAATCTGTATTTCGATTCACTTCTACAAACCTAGAAATTTTCGTTATCGCGTTACGAATCACCCCATTCTCTATGCAGTCAATTTGATTAATCGATCAATTCAACAAGCATCGAAGCAGATATAAAATATCATCGCCATAACCGTGTTACCCCAGCAGCGAAAGAATATATTAATCGTACATAACTCCATAAACAACCACTGCAATTATTATACAAAGAGATACGATCAAGCTTTCAGCAGACAAAAAGAAAGTTTTCACGAATCGAAGCAAATTGAATCCAGACGTATTTATTCAATTAAATAAATATTAAAAATTTTTAATTTTTAGATACAAACGTGAATTTCTAAATTTAGAAATAAAAAAAAAAAATGATTTCAATTATTAAATCATTAATTAAGTGAAACTAGTTTTAATTAACATCGTCTACAATTCAAGATACTTGAACGAAAGCAGTATTTAGCGAAAGGATGCAAATAAGGAGTATTATAGAACGATAGAGAAGTAAGACTCACCGTGTTGGTGAAGCGATCAGGGATAGGTCTTTATTTTTTTTTTTTTTTTTTTTTTTTTTTGATTGGTTGTACGTGTGTGGTTGTGGATGTGGATGTGGTTGGTGATGGTAGTTGGCTGGTCTGAGAAAATCCGCACCGCAACTCGCCCACGAAGAGCCCAAGTACCTAAATACGTTTTCAGAACCTGCTATGAAGTAGAGGGATAAAGCGACACGTGACACTTTACGACAAGTAATCGTTTTTCTTTTCTTTGTTTTTGTCTTTGCCGAACAGAATTGAAGTTTGATTTCCTGGATAAGCGGCACAGATGATCTTTTCTCTTCACTTGATCAGTTCCCAGGTTCTTTTCGAGATAAATTCAATTTGCCGCGTGTAAATTGACACTGATCTTTTTCCTTTCTTGGATATTTCTTTCAATTTTTCTCTTTCTTATCAATGAAACTTTCCAATTAGTTTTCTTAAAATAATTACAAATTTTCGAAAGCATATTCGAGGTGTTGTATAGTAGTGAAATATTATTTAGAAATTTAATTTCAAATCTATTTTCGCTGTCAACTAATTAAGAAATTTTTCAATTATGAAAATAATAAATACCGACAGAATTTTTTTCTTTTAATATAGATGTTTAAAATAATAGTTATTTGATTATAGTAATTTTATTAGAAATACGAAAGAGAAATAATATTTATTCTTTAGAAAAAGATAGATATGATATTCTCAGGAAGGATGTATTTCATTGTTCACATTAGAGGTAATCGAACTTTTATCTACAAGACAGCGAAAGATTTATCTGGTACACAGGATTCTTGCGAACTTTTGCTCGATTCGAGGGAAGCGGAAAAACAACCTGGTAAAAATCAAGAAAATTAAAGTTACGGAGAAAAGGAGAAAAACAGTTTTAGCGATAAAACGCGTTGTTCGAAAGTCGATAGGATAAACGTTAAAGATTTGCAAACAAAATTACAATTATCAAAGAGTAATCAAGAGTTGTTTATCGAAGCACGCGTATTACTTATATTGTAATTTAAACTATGAAAGTAATTATTTACAGTTTCATTATTAGGAGAAAAGAGAAATTAATAAAAGGCCAGATTGCACGTTCGAACGATAGCTGTTATTTCCTTTTTAGTATCATATTTTAATAATACATTAGTTCGAGATTATATGCAAAATCACCAAACGATAAATTAATAAAAGAAAAGTAATATTCTGAATTATTTACATACCTCTGTATTCCTTAATGCATGCAACACGAGACATTGGAAGATAAAACACTGTTTTAGCAAAACATTCATTCGGTGCAGCTGAAATTTCATGCAAAATTGTGCAACCGTATACCTTTCACGATAGTTCCTTGGCAAAAGCATTGAAAATAAAGAGGAAAGTTAGCAAATGTTTCATCCGTGAAGAAATATCCTGGATACAATGTAATACCTACTGCTACGAATTTGTAAACTTGCAAACTTTTCAACGAATCTCATCATAACTCAGAAAGTAGAAACATCCTTGATCATAATTTGGTGTGTATACGTGTACAGGGTGTCCTATACAAAAATGACTGAATACAAAAAATTATAGAAAAAAATATAACTGTTTTATTAAGAGTACATGCCTATTCAGGAGAAGCAAAAGAAAGTGCATCTTTGAGAATTCTTATTAGCAAAGCTAATTAACTTTTTTGAATTTTTTTTTTATTACTTTAAATTATGTCCAAAGTATAGGGTTTCGTTGGAAAAAAAAAGAAAGAGATGCAACTGCATTTTTCTGTACCGATGCACAAAAATGCATATACTTTATTCCACTACATGCATTGCTCAACACCAATTAATTTTGTCCTTCTCTAATAGTTTTCAAACATATAGCTTGTCCCATTTGTGTATAATACCCTGCACATATGATATTTGGTTAACCAGAACAATTAGATAATATTATGTGACGTGGCAGCCTGCTAAATATTTTCATTATTCAAATGTAGGTATTACAATGCTGTTCTACGAGTTCACGTGAAAGTTCATTAAATTATTCATGAAGTGCAAGCAAAAAACTTTTCGTATACGGTAAAGTTAAATTAAAATCTATTTCTGCTTTAACTTTTAACAGTTCCTCCCTTTATGCGACGATTTTTATCTATCGTCCTTTCTATGTGGGCCCTTTTAGATTACTTCATTAACATCCTTTTTTCTTTCGTGTCTTACATTCACCCTACACATTTCAATAACGTATTATTACTATTATCAAGCTTAATTATTAATAAATTATATTAAAGCGTTCGTTTTTCATGCATTCGTAGCAAGATATACGATTTATGTTCAATTTTCACCCACTATTTCATTAGAAATATTCAATGCAAAAATGTACAGAATTAAACTTTTAATTATTCAATCAATATTATTTAATAAAATTGGATGATTTATCTGATATTTGCAAATTAAATATTCCGTACCTTTTTGCATTTCATTTTCCTACGTATGAAACGTTTAGCATAGCGAGGAAAGATTTCTCTGAAGCTCACTGTTAAACGAACGTAAAATCACATAAAATCAGGGTACAAGAAAATTAAACAAAAAGAAGTGATTTGATTCGCTTCAATTACGAACGATTTGTCGAGGTACATTGCACATTCACAGTATTTCATTTTTCTGCAAGAGACATCACTCAATTAACACAAGATGATTTTAATATTATGAGGATAAAATATTTGATACTCTTTATATGCAGATATTCATACTGAAGGGGTTAAAAACTTTTAAAATTCAAATTGAAAAGTTCGAGAGTTATTTAAAAAAATTTTTAAGAAACATTTAACATGCAAATTATCTTAGATTAAAAAATGTTTAGGTGTTGTAAATTCAGAAATAGTGATTGACGTGTGTCAATTGGCTGATGTCCCCTGTTAATTGAGATCATGCGACGTTTCAATTACGAATCATATAACCAATAAGCACAGACACCTATTGACACTTTGACTGCCAT